AAAAAAAAAAAAAAAAAAAAGGGTCTCTCAAATGAACCTGGAACTCGGCTGGTAAGGAGCAAGGCCATCCTCCTGCCTATGCCTCCCACTGGAGTTACAGGCATGCAGACAGCTATGTCTGGGACCTAAACTTAGGGTCTCTTGTTTGTATTGTAAGTGCTGCTACCCACTGAGTCATCTTTCTTGTGCCCAGATATCTTCCTTTTTGTCTGCATTTTGTGAACTCTGTGACTTTCCAGGTCATGTTTGCGTCCTTCACTGCTGGACTCAGTAACCAAGACAAAAATCACAAGCTGGCATATAGTATCTGCTCCATAAATATTTAAAATACAGAATGTTTGGGTCCATTAACAAATATTCAAGTCTACATTTCATTATACAATAATTTTAGTGAAAATTCCATCAGTTTATGAATCTATCACCCCAAGAACTCCTTTTGCATGTGTTTCTCTTGCTATCTCTTGCTGATACCCAACAGGTTGCTAGTTCTCTAGTCTCAGAGTTGTGGTGAGAAAATATTTGGAATTAATGGATCTCCTCAGCAAGGGATCAGGCTAATTTTAAGACGGTTAGGTTGGTTTCATCTTGAGCTTGTTCAGAATGTCTAAGATCTCTAAAGGATGTGTGCATCACTGAGAGAAGCACTGCACAATATAGAAAGCCTAAGGAACAACAATGTCTCTATATTATGTGAGAATCAGAATGATTCTGCAGGATGAGAAAGTGAACCTTTTCATAAAAACAGGACTCAGGAGTACCTTACCTGAACAGAAATCATCAGAGTATCGATCATAAACAGCTCTGCAGTCTCTTTCGTCACACTCACACGTGTCCCCGTGAATGTCTCCCCAATCCCCAGTTGGATCAACGTCGTGACAAGAACATTCACCACAAACACATGTTCCTAGATAGGAAAAAATGAATTTTATGGGAGTGCCAATAAGTATTAGAGAAAGCATCTTGCATGTTTATTGTTTAAAATGTTGATTCTTTCATATTTTGAAAATAAATATATTTAGATAAAAATATTCTAAGAAGGGAAAACGCCATCTTAAGTTGATGGCAGAGATTTCTTAATAAATACAAGTTTTCTATAATTATGTGAGATTATTCAATAAATCATTAACTGTGTTAATTTCTTTCAAAGCTAAAATTAAAACAATCTGTTATTTTTGTTTGCCAGAAACTTGGAAACAATTTGACAAAAAAAAAAAAAAAAGTGAAGGCAAAGGTAACAGAAGAACTAGCAAACTCAAAGTTAGTATCACTATTTTGTGAAGTAAAATGTAAATGGCTTAAGGGTTTGAGAAGTGGTATGTGAATGAAGAGCTAGGAGTAGGCAACATTGTTATACCTGGGAGGGGACGTACTTTAGCCAGCCTAAGAGGTAGAATCTACAGAAACTGAATATGGTGATATATCAGGATAGTAGAGTCCAGGACACCTACGAAGGAAGACTTTACAGAACTGAGAGTTGAAACTGTACGGGTGGAAAGTTTTTCTGTTGGAAAGTATTTCTTGCCACTAATATTTTATTTACATAGATTGTAAATCTTTAGGTAAGTAACAGATAAATTACGTGGGATGAAAAGAAATAAATATCTTCATTGTTTCTTTAAATAAAAATAAAAATCAGTTTGACAAAACTTTAAATTACAAAATAAAGCCATAGGATATGAATAAATTTATTCCTATTCAAAATTTCTGAAATATAATTACTAAAATGAAAAATATATTTAAATACATGCAAGCCTGAAATTTGTATTGGAACCAAAACAACCTAAAAATCCCCAAAAGGCTACAACAGTGAAGCAACTTATCCATACATATGCACGTAGAAGGCAAAATTACACCCACAAACATACAACCAATTCTTAGGCATCAAATCATAAAGTTTAAATATGCCTAATATAAGAAAGGCAAAGACAGAGAACAAGAAATATCATAGGGAATTCATGATAAATGTGACAAGGGCTGACCGTGCAAACAACTATTACTAAGCGTTCTGAGTGGTACTATAATAGTGAGTTCAAATTATTTTGGATATCAGATTATCACTGGCAATGAAATATACATAATCTGAAGGCTTTGAGGATGTGCCTTGATATACTCCAAATTTTGAATCTGAAGCCAATCAAATACAAAGGATTTAGGCAGAACAAAGGTGCTTATGAACAGTGTGAGTTAGTGTGATTTGTACTAGGAAGCAGTTCACATAAACAGATGGTTTCCATTGCCTTTTTTGTGGAAAACGCAGGATTTTTGATTTCCATCTTCTATAAACTCTTAACTCTTTTCTATTTATCAATATTTAAGACAGTGTATCAAGGATCCCCTACAAAAATATGAACATTGTCTTTTAAAATGACTTGTACCTTTGTAGATATTAAAAAGAGGGCTTACAACTTTCTATCTTAATGGTTTTAAAGAAAACAAAAAAGCCACTTGTTTATAACCAGGTAGACAATATTAATAAAAAGTTTAATATTGATCTATATCAATGTTTAATAACTATAAATTATATTTGATATGAATAATTTACAATTTATGTTTAAGGTCAGTCTACAACTCATGGAATTATTTGGTGCATGGTTTCTGTTATGTATTATGTTCCATACAGTTTTAATATTGCAGAAGTTAAATTCATCAATACCAATACTGCATTGCAGCCAAGCCTTCCATTACCCATGAGTAAGACAGGAGGGTTTTCTGACTGCCCTCTGGATAATCAGATACTCAGGCTGTTGATGGCTCTGTTAGTCAGGAGACATTTGGCACAGCATCTCCAGGAATTGCCTTTTAGCTGTGCTGTACCAGTTTTGGACAGAGGCCAGCGAAATTTCAGTCCCCATACTAACTATTTGCTCAAAAAAAAAAAAGCTTAAAGAATGACAGCAAATTTATGTTTTCCTTATCTATTCAGTGAAGAACAAGAACAAAAAGATTATTTGTGTCAATGTGGATTTCTAGCAAAGCAAGTGATTATGAATAATATCACTCCCACGCTGAAGGAAATGCATCGAGAAGACGTCTTATCAGTGATGAGCTTTGTTTACCACCGGTTATGTAGTAACGTAAATGAGTGACACACCTCTGTTGCTGCAGATTTTGCCATCTGGAGATGTGCATCTTCGTTTGCTTTCCCAGGGGGTGATGTCACACTGGAATTCGCATTTATCTCCATGCCAACCAGCCTCGCAGTAACAGTTTCCACAGTAACACTTCCCATGGCCTTTACCCAAAAAGAATTTTATACAGTGAGGAAAAAAGCAACTTTTCAAAGTACCATTAACTTTCTATCTCTTCAAAAATCATTTTTTTTGCCTTTGTAAATAACAAGGGCTCCCAGAACCTTGCTGAAAATAACCAACTTATGTATTTTTTTCTTCCAGTTGAGCTTGAATCTGTATAATTATACAAATAAAAGCAGCCAATATATATTTGCCTTGGGCTACACAGAAAGTGGTTATGAAGTAAGTATTTGTAAAGAAATGACAAGATTGACTATGGAAGTTTAGTACCACTTGAAGTACATGCATCACTGGAATGTATGCAAGCCTTGTTGTGTGAATGTTTCTTGAAACAGTCATTAAAATGTTTTATTTGCAATCAACTATTAAGAAAGCAGCAGTGCATATTTACTTAGATATGTTTTATTCACGGCTGAAGCATTGTCAACCTAGAGGAAATATTTCACCCTTTAATTCCATTATGTCCCACAAACTGCTGACAAGTGGAATATTATTTAACGAGACAAAGATGTGTTTTATTTGTTTATGATGCAAAATATTACTTTATCTGTGTAAAGGTGTGTTACTTTTGTTTATGCTGCATTTAATTGTGTAAAGATCTGTTTCAACTTGCCTGCCTAAGGTACATGATTAGTCTAATAAAAAGCTGGATGGACAGTAGCTAGGCAAGAGAAAGGACAGACAGGGATGGCAGGCAGAAAGAATAAATGAGAGGAGAAATGTAGGTTCAGGAAGAAGGAGAGATGGAGGAGAGAGACAGAGGGGGTGGGGCAGGGCAAGCCACCCAGCCAGCCACAGAGTAAGAAGCAAAGAAAGACACATAGAATACAGAAAGGCAAAAAGCCCCAAGGCAAAACACAGATAAGCACAAACAGATTAAATTAAAAGAGCTAGTCAGAAACAAGCCTGAGGTAGACTGAGTATTAACAAGTCTACACGTCATGATTTGGGAGCTGGTTGGTGGCCCAAATAAAAAGTCTAGTACACACACTGTTGTGTCCCACCATGTGGAAAGTTCCAAGTTAAACCAATAAAATGTAATGCATTATTGGTCTGACAATAAGACTCCCACTCTTGTGTCAAGAGAATACAAATGAGAGCTAAGCAAAAATCCAACACTGTAATAGCCACCGTGCTATAATTTTCCACATTTTCACTTGGACAACCCACCAAACTATCTGCAACAAACTGCCATCACATTTTCATCCTGAACATCTATCTGACCCTTTCCAAAATGCTCCAAAATATCTTCAAATTTGTTTGTTGTGTGCCCCCATCTTTATAATTATCCCACTCAAACATGGATGAATGTCCTCTTTATTTTCTATTCTGTACTTTCTTAATCATAGAAGCTTGTATTTTGTGAGACTCTGACTAACATATTTATTCTTCCATTTCCTTCTTCCTGGGCTGTTACTCTGGGATGGCCATGAAAATGTGCCTGCTTGGCTGCTTTTTAATTGCTTACTGGTTTAATTTTTATTGTAACGTTATGGTGTCCTTTTAATAATGAATTATAATAAATACCCATACTTTATGTAAGCTCTTAGATTACTTATAAAATTCAATGTTCAAGAAGAGTTTGTTTAAAAATAATCATTAAGGTAAGGAGCTAATTCTGAAAGATAAGGGTTAGATCTAGGAAAGAGGAGAGGGGAGGGGAGCTGGGAGAGTGGAAGTAAATGTGTTCAGGATGTATTGTATGAGAGAAGAATCCATTTTCAAAAAAAAGGAATAAGAGGTTAACTAGAAAATAAAACTCATGTAAAGCTACATTTTAAAGCAGATATGGAAAATAATTCAAACGAAGGATGAGAAAAGACATTGGGACAACAGAAGAATCAGGACAGTGCATCTCCTTGGCAAAAAACAAAACTTTGTACTATATANAAACTGGTAGAGGAAAACTTTTTTTCCTGTGTAGTGTCAATGATAGACTATAAAATCCTCTCTCAACAGATTGTTGAGATGTGAATGACACATGGAAAGCTCTAGGATTCTGAGCAGCATCACTCCCACAGAGTGTTACTGGATACCGGCATCCGTGGTTAAAGACGATGAAATTCCAAACAAGTGGAAACACCAAGTAACAAAGGTGAAAGCTAAACGTATCCTATTACATGGTTTCAAGTTCATTTTTAATTTGCATATACAAATAAGCTTCCCCTCAGGGATGTATATCAAAACTCATTGGTCCCAAAACATTTTCTCTTATACCTTACTGATCATCAGCCGTAATAAAACACTCAGATTGTAACTACTTAATGTCCGTGGGAAATTTAACTGCATCTTGAACTAAACCCTTTCAAAAATGTTCTAGAATCTGGCCTAGGATGGTGACTCAGAAAAGTTTTCTTTGCATTTGTTTATCCTGATTGTACATGCAGGTGGCCAGGGACATAAGTCATTTCAGTTGAAAATAATAACATTTGGGCAACCCTACAAGACTATCTACAAGCCACACATGGCTGTGATGACTTCCTGAAGCTGTGATCTCTCAGTTCTAGTATCCCTGACCTTGCTAGCATATGCCAGACATGATTAAGTAGGATACACTTCTTTTGGAAAGAGTATACAAAGGTTCACTTAGTTAAAGTGACTCTCACACGCTGTTCACTCCTACCATTTCATTGTACCAACCAAGGCTGCAAATGGACACTCTGGGCAAGGGCTTGCCACAAGATGAGCAGAACGCAAACTAAAGAACAAGTGATGTGAAGGTACGCTTCTCAGGAACCTGTAAACTCCAAGGCAGGCATGCAATGTGAATGGTGAAGAGTCAGAAACACAGTTCTAGTGTCAGACAGACACCAGTATGGAAGGTATCATACAGGTGGTTTAGCCCTGCACACGTTGATCATGTTGCCTATGTCTCTGTTCCCACCCTTTGAGTAGATACAATTGTAGAGTGAATCTTTCAGGTATCATAAGACATAATATATTGCATATAAAGCATATATTATAGCCATTAATGATAATGAATGGGCAAAAATTAGTGCAAGAGAAAAAATTATTGAATGATGGTGAGACAGAAACTGTGAGGAGGGATGGTATTATCTACATCTAGGAGATGCTAAGGAGCTAAATTAGGCTAACCATACCATCATACTCCAGTGTCCCCATTAGGGCATAGAACTATCTAAAGACGTATGATTTAGAAAAAGAATAAAACGAATGCAGTTAAGAGATAAGGAAAAAATAAAAGATGGTAACTAATGTGAACGAAAGAAATGCTATCCTGATAGGACTGCTTCAGAGTTATGCTGCTGGTTTGTTGCACCAATAATGTTGTTCTCCTCTGGGGACAATCTAGTTTTGGATTAAAATAGTTCTAGAATACTCATACTCTGAAGGTCTTCATTTAACTCTGCTTACCTGATATGTTTCTAGGCACAACTTCAAACTGAATTGGAGGGGAAGTTATAAAGTTTATATAAAGTAAAGCATACAATGAAACAGGTGAAGAATAGGAACTGTGACTTTCTACGCTTAACATACCTACCTCCACAGATTTCTTCTGTTTCGTCATCTATGCATTCTCTATCGTCACACTCACAAAATTTGCCATAAACAAGTCCATTTCCATCTGGATTATCACACTTGCACCTGCCACAGTGGCATGTACCTGAAGCAGTGAGACAGTGAGAGGAATGTTTACACACTAGAAATTATAATGAATAACGCTTTCCCATATTTCTTTCAAGTAGGTAGAGAAAAAACAATTTAATGTTCCAATTAAATATTTCTCTTGTTATGGTGAGGTGGAAGGGGATGCTACATTTTTGAAATTATTGTGGCACAAAAATTACAATTTGTACTTCAGAGTTATTACTGTTGACCTCCGGTAGTTTAATGAGCATCAATGTGACCCCCTCAAAACACAGAGGTCCTTATTTCTGTCTTTTGAAACAAGTAGTAAATAAATGTCTAACTGTGTCAAAGGGAACTAAGACACTTTTGAGTTTCTGAGTAGGGGAATTTTGCTCATCTTATTCACGAGTGTTTATTCAATATTTTGCCTCATTTGGACCAAACTATTCATATAATAAATACTTAGATAAATATAAAATAATAAATATCAGTAAACATGCAAATAAACAGTGTATGTCCAGTGATGGTGCCATATGTCAGCATTAGCTGACATTCTTGTAATGGGGATGACAGGGCCACAGTGGATTTTCTTAGGTACAGATTCTTGTGACCTCAACAGAATCTCAAAGCACATCAGAGAATATTGGAGATCCTGAAAACATTGGATCTCCCACAAATCATATACTCACCCCAACAGAGTGTTTAGCTACACCCCACAAGAGTCATTTTGCTGAAAGCAGCATTTTATTCAATAGTAACAAGTCAGATGTCTTGCTCTAACAAATAGATTTCCATTTTGAATTGATCCTCATGGCTTTGACGTATGAAAGTTAACACTTTATGAGTTACCAGGATGTCCCTACTCTCTGAAAATTCAAAAGGCAATCAAGTCATCCATAGAAAATAAGTGTGTTAAAATAAATAGAGAAGTGGAAATGCTGCAAAAGCTCATAGCAAGGAAAGTTAACTGAGAGCTGGAGGTCAAAGAGAAGGTGCTGAGGCATAAATAAAAAAAACAGATAAATAAATAAGACATAAAAGCAAAGCCTTGGTTGTAATGATATTTTGTTTGTAGTATAACAAATAAAGTCTGCCTGAATATCAGAGTACAGAGCTAAGCCACTAGTTAGTGATATAGGCCAGGCAGTGGTGACACACACCTTTAATCCCAGCATCCAGGAGGCGTAGGCAGAGGGATCTCTGTGAGTTCAAGACCACCCTGGGCTACAAGAGATTGATCCAGTCTAAAAGAGAAACAGATCCAGGTGGTGGTGGCTCCCACCTTTAATCCCAGTACTGGAGAGTCACCTGCCTTTTATCCCAGCACTAGAGAGGTGGAGACGGGAAGGGATATGGTTGGGCAGAGAGAGGAATATAAGGCCAGGGGAGAGAGGAGCAAATGCAGTCTGAGGATTCATAAAGAAAATATCTCCCCTTCAGTCTGAGAAGTCAATAGAGGTAAAATAAAAGTCTCTGTTTCTCTGATCACTCAGCTTTCATGCCCTAATATCTGACTCTAGGTTTTTATTACTAAGAACAATTAGAATTCATGCTACACTCAGTGATTGAAGAACAAATAAATATGCCTGAAAAGTATCATCAAACAAACAAAATTACTAGACAGAAGCTTCTAAAAGCGGTGTAGTTGATACTAAAGGTCTCTAACATCTGTGTTTTTACAAGGAAAGACAAGCATGTAGATTAGGTAATTCTTGTTGCACGGAACATGAGCTGAAACTGGGGGAAATCGGTGCTAAGAAATTAATAATGAAGAAGTGAAAGGTTACTATAGGATGGAAATAAAATTGGATAAATAATGGCAGAGAGTTGAGGAAATACAGGCATATTTGAGAGATTGTTGGGAAGCAGAACAGACAGCATTCAGTGGTCAGTTGAGTATAAAGCATGGAGGGGGTTTTAAGAGAAATCAAGAATGATATTGGGCCTGAGTGTAGGTATAGTAACTATTCTGTCTATGGAAACAGGGAAGAACATGGGCTTTCCATTCAGGTACAGTTACAGTCAGATACGCTTTGATCCTATCTGGTTAAGAATTGTTTAGATTGAGATCCTTTCTACTTCTCATCCCCAGATGCACACGTTCACATAATCTCTTCTTCACAGGATAACTGTGAGTCTGAGTGAGAAATCCTTTCCCTTCTGAAGGTTCTGCCGTACCTAGTGCATAAGAGGCTTTCAGGAAACCATGAATCTTTCTTCTTCTCTATCTAAAACAATAGTACATTAATCATACTCCAAATATCTTTTCCAGAATCACCTTGTGTCTAAGGACCTTGACACAATTCTTATTTTCATGCCTTCCACATGCTTCTGCTACACAGATCACCTGCAATTTCCTACTATCTGTAAGAGGGCCTCCTCTCACAAAACCACAAATGAACAGTTATTTTGCAGAATCTGACTTTGTTGTTTTGTACGTTGAGGGTACTCCTGTGAATCTGATTAAACTTAATTATCTTGTCCTACTTTTTTCTGAAACCTATTTTAACTTATAAATATTACTTGAAATATAATGCTATAATTTCAGTACTGCTTCATTTAATTTTTTTCTCTCATTATCACCTTTCTCTTTTACTCTCACATCTCTTCTTCCTGTCTCTTCCACCCACCTATTTAGTCATTAAGCTTTAGTGTGACCTATTATGCTATTGCCAAAGTACTATAGGAGGTAATAAGATAAAGAAAATTAGGCAAATCAAGGACCAGAAAGAAAACTGCAGATGATATAAATGTAAACCTCCATATTTTATAAATATACAACACACACATATGAAATCAGAAACTATACAAGAGAAAAATATTCATAACAGATTCAAAGCAAGTGTTATACAAAAATGATGGGTTCTGCAAGTAGAGAAAGGTGTTAGGAAGAAGTAAATTCTTAAGTTATTGTCAATAAATAGAGAAAATTCCAATAGGTGAATTAAAACACCAAGAAGACTTGTGGTTATGAGGAAAAATGAATCGATAATTATGATGCAAATAACAGAATAGTTAAGACACTAATGAATTTGGATGAAAGGGTATAATGAATACATGTGCCAAAGTTGAAGAACATTGGCTAGGGATTTTAGACTTTCCCGGAATACCAGAAGCCTTCCATGGTTTAGCAGCAGAGAATAGTTTGGTGAGAGATGTATTCATATAAGTCATTTCCCCTCCAGAAAGATGGGCAGGATCTGCCACTGCCTCCCAAGTTTCATGACTCCTCACTGACGTCTTCTACTGGCAGGCTCATTTCCATCCACATATGTGAACCATTCCTCACCAGAGTGGGAAGTCTCCAACAGCTTAGAGACTTCCTGTCTCACCATCCAGCAAAATTCACATCTGAGCCTCCAAGACATGGCAGATGGGAGCCCAAGCAGAAGTGCCAGACTCCTGTGTTCCTGCTGTGTCATCTACATCTCACTCTTGGTTGCCAGTCAATCACACTCTAGGACTGGTAGCTTTGTACTTGGTTATTTTAGCTCTAGCTTTTTCTGCTGCCTAACAAAGCTGGTTCTCTCTATGGTGACCAGACTTGAACACCAATCTTCATTCTGTTCTAAGGTACTGAGGCTTCACCTTGCTCTGCATATTGGTACAGAGAAAGCTTCTGAAGGTTTTGTTCTCAGTTCCTTCTAAATGTGCCTTTCAATTTATGCCCCACAATGGTTACCCTCTTTTATATCCAATTTGCTGCCAGAGAACCAAATTATAAGAAAAGACAAAACTACTAATGGAGATGTCTTAGTTAGAGTTTCTATCACTGTGATGAAACACAATGACCAAAAGTTTGAGAGGAAATGTTTTATGCAACTTACCATTACAGTTCATCATCAAAGGAGGTCAGCATAGGAAACTGGACCCAGGAGGTGATGCAGAGGTATAGAGGACTGCTGTTCACTGGCTTATCTCTCATGATTTGCTCACCTAGCTTTGTAAAGAACCCAGTCCAAAAAAAAAAAAAAAAAAAAAAAAAAAAAAAAAAAACCTAGTACTGCCAGCCCAGGGATTGCATTGCTTGGTCTTACAGCCAGATCATTTTCTCAGCCGAGGTTCCCTCCATTCCAGCATGTCAAAACTAGCCAGCACAGGGAAGCAATAAAATCTGCAGTCGCTGATAATGAATTATTATTAAATTATGGTGGGAATTATTATTAAAGGAGAAGTGGGTGAGAACAAGATTGGCAAAGCAAAACAAAAGACTTAGACATCAAGACAAAGTGTGAGGGAAAGGATTACATGTAAATATGAATGTAACTTTTCCTATTGGCCTAGCAATCTCACTCCTGATATTTAATCTGATAATAAGATCTCCCAAAGAAGAAAATGTAGATAGGTGAAATAATGCCATGAATTATTATTTATAATTTCCAAATAATAGAAGTTCTAAATGCCTAAGTATAGGAGTCAAATTGATTAAATGGCATGCATAGAAAAACTGAGTACTAAGCTGTTGAGAAAAGAATAGAAACTCTCAGACACACAACTGTCATGATGAGTTGAGTGACAAATGCAGACTGCTAAATAGCATAGTGATCTTGCTGCCTCGTATGTGAAGGATAAAAGAAAAACACTGGTACTGGAGCTCAGTCAGTGAAAGACCCTGTTAAGGCAATAAAATATCCAACATATTGCTTTGGGCTCTATATATCTGCATAGGCACTTTGCATACCCTGCCCTACAAAATACAACATTAACAAAATACTGAGAGAGAGTGGATGGCACAGGGGTAGGAGGGAGGAGAAAGCCCAAAACAGCAAAGCTAGCTCCTTACAATGCTAATACTTCCCAGATGATAGCATTTCTCTCTTACTAAAGACTGTGATGAATTTCTGAACATGCTTTCTGCACCGTGTTGACTTTGGACTCCTCCTCATACTCTATATTATAGTCTATTATAAATATTGAAGGGAAGAAAGGCTAACAAAAAAGCCCTAAAAGTAAAAGCAAACAAATGAATATGCTCAATTGTATTTCAAATGGATGAAAAGGGCACCCTATAAAGAGTTTAAAAGGAAGTCAAGTAATTTATGAATATAGCTTTGACTAGACCCCTAAGCTGAGCCATAGTTAGGGTGGGGCGAGGGTGGATGCAGTTGAATTGGAATCAAGTCCATTTTTGTTCCTGTACATTTATTTATTTAGTATAGTTGTATCTATGAGGACTTTTTTTTTTTTGGATTTCTTTTTTTTTTTTTTTTTTTTTTTTTGGATTTTTCGAGACAGGGTTTCTCCGTAGCTTTTTGGTTCCTGTCCTGGCACTAGCTCTTATAGACCAGGCTGGCCTCGAACTCACAGAGATCCACCTGCCTCTGCCTCCCGAGTGCTGGGATTAAAGGCGTACCCCACCACCGCCCGGCTTTATGAGCACTTCTTTAAAAACAATTTTAGATGTAAGTAGTATAAAATTAGTCAAATAAGTAAATATTTTGCTGCTGTGAGGAAGCATCACAGACTCCAAACTGAGCAACATTTCATTAAGAATATAAATAATTGATTAGATACAAAATGGCTCCCGAAAGGAGTGGCACTATTAGGAGGTAAGGTCTTGTTGGAGTGGATGTGGTCTTGTTGGAGGAAGTGTGTCACTATGGAGGTGGGGTAGAAATCTCTTATATGTTCAAGCCATGCCCAGTGAGACAGTACATTTCCTGTTACTCTCTGATCAATATATAGCCAGTACCATGTCTGCCTGCACACTGCCATACGCCCTGCCATGAGGATAATGGACAAGTCACCTCAACTAAATGTTTTCTTTTATAAAAGTTGCCGTGGTCACAGTGTCTTTTCACAGCAATATATATCCTAAGACATTGAGCATAGTGGCACATGCCTGTGATTCCAGTAGTAGAGACAGTGGCAGGAAGACCATACTAAGTTTGAGTCTAATCAAGACTATAGCAAGAACTAACCTGGCCTGGGTTACACAATAAGAAAGACCTTGCCTCAAAAAATTTAAAACAGCAACAACATTAACACACACACCCTTAAAGAAAAATAATAAAAAAGGGGGATGTAGTATAGGTATTTTTTTTGTTTGTACTATGGAAATAGTGAGAGTAAGGGAAAATAGAAAAGATTACACCATAACCCTGTCCCTAGATTAGATCTAGTGAGAAATAGTTGTTGCTATGAAGGACATCATTGAGACATTGACCACGTGGCATTAGAGCTGGCAATTTGAATTAAAGTATTTATCAATTTTACAAAAGAGGCTACAAATATCTTAAAATATACATTCTACTTTATCAAATATGCTTTATCATCTATCAAGACTATTCTGCCCCAGGAACATTACTGCACACCTATAATACCAGCTCTTGCAAAGCAAAGGCAGGCTGATTCCAGGGAAGCTGAAACTAACAGGGTCTGTATAGCGAGTTCCAGACTACCCAAGGAGTAAGACTTTGTCTCAAGAGGAAAAAGGACAATTCAGCATATTTTCTCTTTCATGTAATATTGATACGTCAAGTCATATTCCCTAAAACATCTTCAGATTCAGTAACATTTATTTATGTGTGTGTTTATGCATATACGTGTGTGTGTTGGCGGATGATTATGAATTAAAGAAATTCTATTGAAAGCAAAGCAAAGACTACAGTAAGCAGAGAACTGAAGAGACTGTCTTTAACACAGTCTGATCTAACTGCTCAGCCTGCTCATTCTGGCCTAATACATCCTAACATCCCTTGTTCTGTATACAGTCCTGATTCCATTAGCAAAACACCCTGACTGAGCTTAATCTACAGTAAGCAATTTGTCACAGCAGACTGTGGAAAAGTCCAAGCTCTGATTACAGAAGAGATCCCCCAATAATGTAAGCTTCAGGGGTGGGATATTTGTGCAAATACTCAAAGGCTTGCCTTTATCATGTGGAACAAATCTTGTACCTCTGGATTCGACCACCCAGATGGCCTCAAAACACACACCGACTAAACTAAGGACAATAGACAAGCAGCTGCACTTCTTAGCCTGTTATGCACATTTGCATGCTGTGGGGTGGCTTTCTCACCTGCAGTACTTTCTCACCAGTTTGAATTTCTCCCTCTATTGCTGGTGTAGAAACAAGCAAAGGCCATGAAAACAGGATACCAAACAAGCTGACACCAAGCAACTCTCTAGGCAAATGAAGATGCTTCGTGCATTCATAGTCACTGAATCTCTCTCTCTCTCTCAAAAAAAAGTTCACATTACATATCAAAACAATTGAAACTGAACCTCGAGGGCAGCATGTGAGCACAGAAATTCTCGTACTTTCATTTGAATGCTCAGGTTTAATGCAGTGGAGAAAGAGGGACTCTGAGATCCACGTGTGCACACTGAAGCAACTTAATTACAATTAGAGTATTAAACTATATTAAACTACCACTGCACTGTAAACTGAAACTATTCTGTTTTGTGTAGTTTTAATAATTAATTTTAACAATTTTTTGTAACTCTTAAGCAATATTTCTAAATAACTCCTATGAAATACACAAATATTTTGAAAAAACAAAAAAACAAAAAACAATTGAAAAAACACCCAAACCAAAAAACAAACAAACAAAAAACTTTGCTATCATTGTATCTTCAAGGTGGTTCATACCCAGTATCTGAAACTTCTGTCAAATTGAAAATTCCAGCTTCATTGCTGCTATGGTATAAACGTAAAGCACTTTTGATCTCTAATATAAAGTAAGTAAGTCAGTCATGTAAGTCTTAATCAACACTTTAATCCAGCACTCAACATCACTGCTCTCCATTTATACAAAATCTCACACAGCTTCATTTCTGGTGAATACCTTGCTTAAAGGATGATGCATCAGAAACAGCTGGAGACTATCAAGCCAGCAATTCTCAACAAGATGACATTCTTTTTCTTAACAATTTATCTAAATTACATTTTAAAATACATACTCAAAAGTGGTCTGTTCATCATTTCTACACGTCTATAAAATTCTATTGAAATCCAAATTTTTATTAATTTTTTTGAGATCTCTTTATTTTTAAAACAATATTTTCTCATTTTACATACCAATCCCAGTTCCTTCTCCCTTCCCTCCTCCCAATCCTCCTACCTTCTCCACCCCATCCACTGCTCAGAGAGGATAAGCCTTCCCATTGGGAGTCAACAAATTGTGGTACATCACTTTGAGGCAGGACCAGGCCTTGGTCCAAAGTTTGATTATTTTAATGAAGAATTGTACAGGGATGCAGCTCTTACCTGCATTGGAGCAGATGACATCTTGAGAGTTCCTGCACATCTGGTTGCTGGTTTTTTTTGTCAGGTTACACTTGGTTGGGTACTGGCAAGCTTCTCCAGACCAGCCCACATCACACTTGCATTTGCCGCAGTCACAGGTACCATGGCCTGAGAGAGCAACAACAGTTAGTGAGACTCAGACTTTTTTTTTTTTTTTTTTAACCAAGGAAGGGTCTATCATAACAAGAACTCTTAAGAGCAGTGTTGCTTCTGCTATTTGCACTAGGCTCTCACTGGGACTCCTCTTGGATATCCTACCATTGCCGTGTGGCCTAGAGATTCCGTAGCTTTGGATCTGCAGGACCATCTTCTTCACATGCTCTATCAGGTCATAGATGGAATGGATGTTGGGTTGGGCCAACTCACAGCCCTGGTTCAGAGCTTGGCTGGTAGCTGGGTTTGTCATCCCACTAATTTTCCCTCATCCTCACCACAGTGCAAGCTCTCCAGCACTGACCCACCTAGCTCACCTGATGCAGCCTGCAGCAACAGGTAGGACCAGTTCCTGCTCTCAGTCTCTCAGGTGGCTCACCTGCACCCACATCACCAGGGCCAGTTCTACTGTGTTACCCAGGAAAGATGCAGATGCAGTGCCCACTCTCCTGAGTGCAGCAACTGGTGAGAGACAGGACCAACTCTCTGCCCTCATATCCCTGAGGCCAGCTCTCCCTCCTGCCACATATGGTGAGGGGATGAGGTAGGATGTCTTTCCCTCACCCATGCCACTACATTGATGCTCTCTTACATTGATAGTCTTAGGACAGGTTCATCATCACCTCCACCACCACCACCCCAGCCAACAGGGTCATCCCTACTGTGCTGCCCAGGCAAGATGCAGGATCTGCTCTCCTGGGTGCTGCAGCAGTTGAGAAGGAACAGCTTTCCTGCTATTTTAACCCTGGGGCCAGCTTTCCTACCTGCAGCAGGTGACAAGAAGCAAGAAATGAGGTGGGGGAGAGAGTCATTCGTGCACCCTCGGCCAGCTCATCTGCAGCCCCATCAACAGGGTCAACTCTGCTGTGCTGCCCTGGAGAGGTGTAGGGCTCTCTCTCTCTATAGTGTTGCTCTCTGGCTTTCATGACCTCAGAGCCAGCTCTCCTACCTGCCACCTGTGGTGAAGAACAGGGGTGTGCATCTCTCCCCCCGCTCATGCCCCCACATGGCAGATGTGGGGCAGGACCAGCTCCCCCACTCTCTTGCTCTCTGGAATAGCTGGTCCCTGCCACACCTCTTTCCAAATGGATCAGCTCTGCTGTGCTGCCCAGGCAAGGCTCAGGTTCTGATTTCAAGAATGCTGCAGCCCGTGAGAGGGCCAACTCTGTGCAGCCCTATCCTTACAACCTTTGGTGAGAACAGAAGTCATGGACATCAATCCAGACATGGTCCTTGGCAGCAGCCCAGGCCAAGACGTCATCATGGCCCCAGGTGGCAGGCAAGTCACCTACATCAGCTCTGTCTCCCTTCAACTCCTCAGATCTACCTCTCTCCATAGGATGAGCCATTCCGCCTATACCCCACCATACATTTGCTCACCATTGTGGCACCTAACCAGTTGGCACCACAAAATATTGGGCAGGCCCATGGTTTCTTCTACCCACCCAGGACAAGTGACCCCAAGCAGGTGTGTGGGTATCTTTCACCCACCTAGTTCCAACCCTGATATTTCTCTTATACATATATTAACTATCACCACGAAATGATGTAGACATTAAAGTGTCCATTTTGTTTCTTAATGAAGAAATTTGGCTCATTCATCAAAAAGAGAAGAGTCATATTCGTACTGAACTGTCTCAGTCCTCTCTGTTTTCAATCATTATTGTGCTTGTAGGTTATGCTATTTAAATGACTATCAACACAGGCTTTATTAAGTCTGGTTTAAGAATGCATATTAATGATTTTGTTGTCTATTCATTAGTCAGCCCTAAGTTCAAATCACATAAAATTCTTGGTCCAAAAATTTACAGATTTGGGACTCAAGCTGATATAATAGAAGTTATTTTTTAATTAAAAATATCATTTATTTATGCTCCTTTCATACATCATATTGTCCAGGAAAGTCTCCCATATGTGTCTAAAGTGGCAGAGTACCATACACGCCATTTAAAGGCAAAGCACCGTCTCTATCTCCCTCCATCGCCAGATGAAGGTTCTATGGTGATATGTAAGATATTCATCAGTATGGCTATAGGATAGGGTCATTTCAGGTTCCCTATCCTCAGCTGCCCCAGGAACTAACTGGGGACATCACCCTGGGCACCTGGGAGCCCCTCTAGTTCCAAGTCTCTTGCCAACCCTAAGATGGCTCCCTTAATTAAGATATGTGCTTCCCTGCTACCCTATCCAACCTTCCTTTATCCCAGTCATCCCGTTTCCCCAAGTTCCCTCCAACCTCCCTTTCTCACTCTTCTCTCCCCATCTCCCCTTACACCCCTCCCACCCCACCCCCAAGATCCCATTTTTTTGCCCGGCAATCTTGTCTACTTCCATAACCAGGAGGATAGCTATATGTTTTTCTTTGGGTTCACCTTCTTATTTAGCTTCTTTAGGATATCAGATTATAGACTCAGTGACCTTTATTTATGGTTAGAAACCAATTATGAGTGAGTACATCCCATGTTCATCTTTTTGGGTCTGGGTTACGTCACTCACTGGAGCACCCGACTGAGCTCCCAATGTCCCAATGAGGAGCAGAAGGAGGGAGAACATGAGCAAAGAAGTCAGGACCACAAGGGGTGCACCCACCCACGGAGACAGTGGGGCTGATCTTTTGGGAGCTCACCAAGGCCAGTTGGACTGTGACTGAAAAAGCATGGGATAAAACCGGACTCTCCGAATATGGCGGACAATGAGGGCTGCTGAGAAGCCAAGGACAATGGCACTGGGTTTTGATCCTACTTCATGTTCTGGCTTTGTGGGAGCCTAGCCAGTTTGGATGTTCACCTTCCTAGACCAGGATGGAGGGGGCAGGACTTTGGACTTTCTACAGGGCAGGGAACCCTGACTGCTCTTCAGACTGGAGAGGGAGGGGGAGAGGAGTGGGGGGAGGGGGAGAGGGGGAAATGGGAGGCTGGGAGGAGGCAGAAATTTTTTTTTCAATAAAAAAAAAATAAAGGCAAAGCACCGCTGGAGGAACTGGTCGTCCAATCTCGGCTCTCACGATATACTTCTCGATTTGTATTAATTTCTGAAAATCAGAACTACCATGTCCAAAAAAAATGATAGGGGGGTTGTAAAAAATAATCACTTTATTCAATATCAAAATTTTAGAAATGGAGTCTATTTTCTTTAGGAAATAAAAAACTAAGAAGACAATGTCACTTAACATAGTTGGTACATCAGAATAGGTCATCAGAAAAATACTGTAATGAACTTGTCTCTGATACCATCAATTCCAGGCCTTATGATAAAAGTTATTAAGGCAGTCTTCCACCAATGCTTGTCACCTTGTGTGACAGAGTATAGTTCATAAATTCTGGGAATAAGATATGACATTTCTGGATCTTCTTTGACCTTTAACTGAACCTTAGAAGTTGAGCAGTTTTGATGGGTCATTGGAAGTACATTCCCCACATATTCAAGATAATAGCACTGTGTCTTAATGTCTAAAATTATAGACTTTATAAGGTAGAAGTATCGATCTCATGTCAATGAACTTTTGATGTGATAGGAGAGCATCCAGGTGGTCATTCAGAATTCATGGATCAGAATTCATGACCATTGGACTGTGTACATCAGACCATGAACCTATGACTGGCTGAAGATTAGAACTTCCCTTCATGGAATCCAGTCTAAGTATATGTTTTTATTTCTACTGAATTTGTCCAAAATAATCCTCAGAAGGACCCTAAAATAGTTCATTTTATTCACACGTATCTCTTTGCGTGCTGTTTAGCTACACAGTTAAGTTAGTTAACTTGGTATCATATATAAGCATAAGAGATTGTGCCTGCCCTACATCCAGCCTATTTATAAAACTGTTTGTTAGGTTTCAAGCCTGAGACAAATGGCTGATGTGCCTATTTAGCATACCAAAGTGGACCTGGCTTCCAGACCTCCCTTAGTCCCTACCTACTACAAGATCCTCTTTACTGGCATAGCCTATCCCTTTCTCCAGCACAGGGACTGGGCTGCCCTTCCTTATATAATCCAACCACTTTTGCTACCTGGTCCCCTTCATTTACTCTCTTTGAGCATCCTGGCTACTGCCACTGGATTCCCTTTTCCCTCCCATCCCATCTGTGACTTCCTCTCATGGCTCAGGGACATGTCTAAGCACTCTTCCAGATGTCCCTGACTCTGTCTATGCACATTTATCTATAATAAACCTTCTTCTCCACCATACCTAGTAGCAGTCATGTTCTTTTCCTTTTTATTTATTTTTCCATTTTTCTGGTACTGAGCCCCAGGGATAATCATGCCCCTTCCTTTCGTTTTGTTTTTTCATTCACTGTTAATCCAACTTTTTGAAGTAGACAAGTTTCTTTCAATTGATAAATAATCTTAGCATTGTATTGATTCTTTAATGATATTAATATGTTAGGTGAACTGCATGCATCGCCACTTCTCCCAGTTCCATTTGAGCCACTTCTGATGGTTAATCACAATAAAAAGGCAGTTCATATCAACAGCAAAAGATGTAGAATTTGCTTAGAAGATGAATAACTATGGCATTAGTGATTGGCTGATTAAAGAATAAAATGACTACTTCATGATTCTTTTACATGGCATGGAAACCTTACATTCTAATTTGAAGGTGTGTGTGTGTGTGTGTGTGTGTGTGTGTGAGAGAGAGAGAGAGAGAGAGAGAGAGAGAGAGAGAGAGAGAGAGATAGTATACATTTAATCGTTTTGTGAGACAAAGATTACAGATTGTTTTTTTTAAAGATATTAAAGGATAGAGAAAAATAAAGGACACTTATACAGGATGGGAATAAATACTCCATGCCATAATAACCCCAAGGATCATCAGTGAAAATAAAAATCTAAGGAGTTTATTCCTCAAAGTGGCCCTGGAAAATGTAAGTTCTATTCCAGCATGATCGCTTGTCACATTTGTAAAAACAAATATTAGGACTTCATGCTTTTGTTCATTCCACACAGGACAGAGA